ATGAGCTGACAGTAGTTAGAGAACCAATGGAAAACCTGGAAGTACTGGACAGCTGTGACCAGTAGGGTGCAGCTGGTCGGGTGTGAGGACAAATACTCGCCACAGAAGACATTGGCTAGCGGTCACGCTATGTCGTGAATCGGCAGAAGTTAGAATTCAAGGACCATTGGATCAGGTCCCAGTGGCTTAGTGGTCTACGCGCTCGCCTTGTGACCAGAATGTCGTGGGTTCGAATCTCGGTGGGTGCGTACTTCTGAATTGTCCCAAACTAGGACGAAACATCTGTCCAGTACTCCCAGTTGGTTTTCCAATGGTTCTCTAACTACTGTCAGCTCATGATGAAATCCTGAAACCAATCAAATCCCTACAAACCAACACTTGAATACTTTATCACCGTGTTTGTGATATTTAAAATAAACTTATCTAATATGGAATTTAAGTGGTGTATGGTGACTAGCAGTGGAATCCAGGATGCGCATTTCGTCCTATTTGGATTCATCAGCCAGTTGATGTACCTGCATTCCACAGTGAATGATGATGTTCCCAACGAGGCTCGAACCCAGTGCCCATAGATTTTAAACACCAAAGCGTTATCCACTAGACCACTTAGGCCACGAGAGCCACCTCTTGTGCAATGGGTCATATTGATTTAAATTGAACTTTAGATTTTCCCGTCGATTGATTGCACCGAAGTGCCCAAGTGGTCTAGTGGATAACCCTTTGGAGTTTGAAACTATGGGCACTGGGTTCGAGCCTCGGTGGGAACATCATCACTCACTGGGAAATGCAGGTTTATACGGATGACGAGTCCAAAATGGCACGAAACGCTCGTTATCCTGGATTCCATTGCTAGTCACCATCCACCAATTAAATTTTTATTAAATGACCAGACATTGTCGAAGCATCTTCACAAGATGCCAACAGACATATAAACCTGAGATCGAGCACTTCGGTCCAATCAATTGATGGGAAAATCCAAAGTTTACTTAAAATAAAATATTACTGTTGTGAATATCTCTTGTGAAGTTATTTCAATTTTAGAATGTTGGTTTGTCGGGGTGTGATCGATTGATGACAGGATTTCATCATCAACTGACATTGGTTAGAGACTACTACTGCCTAGCTGAATTTCAGTTTTTATTTTCATTATTATTTAGAGACTGGCAGGGAAATCCAGACTGGCGAGTTTTTCTAACTCTTCATCAGCGAGATACATCTGCACACCAGTAGATATTGATGATGTCGTCACAAGAAAAATGTCAAACACAGAACTCATTGTTAAAAAAAAGCCAAAGTGCTATCCACTTTACTACTAAGCTTAAAAAGTATTTTACTTCACGAATGGGTGATTTACGATTCATTTTATGCTAGCAAACGCCTTCTGTTTGAAAGCTGTCTTATGCTGTCAAGGTTGATTTGAGTTGATAAAATTAACTATTCATCTTTCCTTTATTTGTCATCTATTGCAGTAGAAGAACTTGCGCAAATTCCTAATTGAGAAGTATTGACCGGTGGTGAGGTACAGCAGGTAGGAAGGGAGTGAGAACAAATACTCACCAGAGATGACATTTGTTGGTCCCATAACACTATATCATGGATTGGTAGGAGTTGGAATTCATGGGCTGGCCAGTGGATTGGGCCCAAAATTGGACAAAAATGCCACTTGAGGACATAATACTGGGAGTGCAGCTTTGCCTAACTTCTACAGGATTTAAATTCCAAGGGAAAATATACAAACAAACTGAGGGAGTTGACATGGGATCACCAATATCCCCGGCTGTAGCAGATATATTCATGGATAGGTGGGAAAAGATTGCGATTGAAACGTTCACCCCCACCCCAAAAGTATGGTGGAGGTATGTAGATGACACATTCACTGTACTTAGAACACAGCATATAGATAGATTTTTCGAACACATCAACTCGAAGGTAGAGGCAATTCAATTCACTTATGAATTGGAAAGTCAGGAAGGGGAGCTTCCAATGTTAGATTGCAACGTAAAAAGGAAAGAAGATGGGAAGCTAAACACTAGTGTTTACAGAAAACCCACACATTCAAACAGATATTTGGATTTCCGATCATCCCATCCTATGTCAGTAAAAATAGGATTGGTGAAATGTTTAAGTGACAGAGCACAAAAACTAAGTAGTACCAAGGAAAATCTAAGACAGGAAGTGATACACATAAAAGAAGCCTTGAAACTTAATAATTACCCGGATAAATTAGTCAAGAAATATGTAAGTAAATGTAAAAATAAAATAAATAATGATAATAGCGATAGTGATAATAATAATAATAATGATAACAATAATAATGATAATTATAATAGTAATGGTCATAATAATAGTGATAATAATAATATTAATGACGACACCAACAATAAGGAAGCTAAATCATCAACAGTAATTCCATACAAGGAAGGAACCTCGGAAGCCTTACGCAGAATTCTTAACAAGGCAGGAATAAAAGTGGCATTCAAACCCACAAACTCAATTAGAAACAAGCTTTGTCGGTTAAAGGATCCTGTAGAGCCATTAAAACAAAACAATTTAGTTTATCTAATACCCTGCAATGATTGTTAGGTCAAATACATAGGTCAAACTAGTAGAACAGGGGCAGTCAGACTAGCCGAACATAAAAACCTAGCTAAATCTAGATTGGTTGACCCGAATAAGATAAGAAATCTAGAGAGTAGTTCAGCTATAGCACTACATGCAGTTACACACAACCATACAATAGGCTGGATGGGATAAGATGACAGTTTTAAAATCTAATGTCACAGGGTATAGGGAGAGATTGATAACAGAAGCTTTGTTTATCGAATCAACTGCGAATACATGTAATAGAAACGATTCAACACCTGTCCCAGATATATGGAAAATTCTACTGCCCATACGACAAATAGGAGACGACATAGAAAACTATAAAACTCAAGTTTCAAAGTCGTGTGAATACAATTGATATGATTATGAACAATAAATTGTGTTCGAAACGTCATCCAGTATACAATACTGTTTCACTGTGTGATACATCTAATAAACAAGCTAATATGGCACCAACTAGACAGCTGTACATTCGTGTAATTATAATAAATGGGCTTGAAAGTTCTAGAATAATTTCCGGTCAAGGGTCAAATTAGTAAACATTACAATTAGGAATTAAAATGACATAATAAACAGGGGGTGGGGTGGATAAAACTCAAACAAAGCAGCATCATAAATACTGAGAAGATTGACATATTGTACAATTGGGGGTTAGAAATGTAGAAATAACAACAATAGACAGGATGTTTGGATAAAAAATCTAGGGGATCATAACTAATGTGAGAATAATTGTTGATACAGTTAGGGATTAAATATGTAGAAATAATAAAATGACAAAATAAATAGGAAGTTTGGATATGATAATATGGTAATGTAAATAGGGATTAAGAAGGACTTAAAAATAACATGAATAAACAGGAAGTTTGAATATGAAACGCAATGGGATAGTCACTATTAGAAGAATTACCTGTTTATGATGGCCTCAGCAGGGACGAGGCTTGGACATATTTCTTTCGGATACATAGCGTGGGTTTGAGCTATTGGATGGCTAGTTCCTCGGCTATGCGCAGATGTCTTAATTTTACTCCCTTTCAATGGTTTGATCGAATGTTTGTGAATGTCATGAATTGACCAAATGTTGTGTCACTGAACTATATACACGTTTACGATCTCTTTTTACTAGCCAGGCTGGATGGTGTTCACGAGCGCGTTTTTCAATTTGATACATAGTACGACCGATGTGCCCAGCTTCGCAAAGGCAAGTAAACTGGCATATGCACGTTGAGATGGCGCAATGCGACGACTTATCTGTCACGTTCTGCCTGAACAGTTTCTTGCAGAAAAACGTCAGTCATAAGCTTGCGGCGAAGTATTTTTTCTTCAGGGATTTACAGGGGCGTGTCGACGGACGTCTCCTTAAGTGTCACTTTTGAATTCTAGATCAAGCAGAAGCAGCTTCTTCTGGAAGGATTGGACGCGTTCAGAAGTTTTCTTTGATTTGAGATTCTTTTCTATGAAACTGGGCAGAAAACCGTTTTCCATCGGAGTTCCTCGGACATTACATTACTCATTTCTTCATCAATCACGTTCTCACTGCATATCTTCCGAATCCTCGAGGAAACAGCGTATATAAGGTTCCTCTTTCTGCTTAGGGGCACTAAGCTTTGAAAGTTGATGAATTGTCCATTCCATGTAGTCTCTTTGTATATGGACCTTTTCAGAGAGTTCTTGGCGTTTCTTGTCAGATGGATGTCAAGGAAGTCGATAAATATCAATTAGAGAAGTATCCTACTTTTTTACTCTTCCGGAGAGATGATTCGATGATTCTTCTCAGGGGATCCCACCCAGGATCTTCATGTTAAAAATGACGCTTTGTATAGCATCGAGCCATTAAGGTGAAATCTAACGTCTAATGAACTCTGACTTCTACTCACTTACACTCGACTTAGCGGACTCCACTGGTTACTGATCACAACTCAGGTAATTTCATCTTGTATTCAGGCATGCATAGGCATTCTATTTTTAAAGGCAAACAGATTGCATTCACTACGAATACTAACTATTACTAACCACAGAAAGAGAAGAATGCAAAGCTCGTGGAATGTTTGAAATTGTCACAAATCAGCAAAAACAAACAATTGCATGCCTTAGCTAAACCTTCATCATAATATTTATCAGTGTATAAATATATATATATATATGTATACATACATACTATATAGTATCGATCTTTCTAACACCTATTGCTCTATAATCAATTTATTGATCTGGCTTATATTTTTTGATTTTTGCGTTTTCTTCTCCCCCCATACACAAAACATGCACTATCGTTTCAAAATGGTTGATTCTCTGTGTTTCTTTTTTAAAACACTCGCTCACTCGCTGACTCATTCATTTGTGAATCTTAACTTCGACGTTTTGTTTTCTCTTTTCATTTTCATTTTTACCCCTTGTAGATTGGAATCGGTGGTGAGTTGGCCAATGTTGATTTCGGTAAAGATTTATGCCTTAGACATGCACAAATTGAAGCTGTCAGTATTGAGCGGATGTATGCCTGGGAACGTGGTGAAATTGACTATACAGGGAGTGATCGATTTATAAATATTCTTAATAAATTATGTACAACACTACAATATGTTGGTGGTGAGGCAAATCTTCCTATTGGTATAGATGTCATCAAATGAAGCATGTATGTATGTGTGTATGTGTATAGTGAGTGTTTGTAAAAGTGTTGAAATTGATTGCATCATTGTATGCTGTCATGTGTTTGATGATGGTGATGGTGATGATAAGGATGATGACATGAGAAAGTGATATCCCCCTCCCGCCCAACCCCGCTCAGCCCCACCCAGCCCCGCCCGTCCCGCCCACACACACACACATTGAGAGAGAACGAAGGAGTAAAGAGGAGGCGATGATGAAATCTTCCAGTCTTAGTCTCTCTCGCTCTCTCTCTCGTTCTCTAGGCTCCACACAAACACACATACATACACACGCACGCACGCAGGCACATATACACATCTATTTTTATTTTGCTTCAAAAGTTTATTTTCTAAATGTATCAGTCAGTCGAACACATCAAAAAAATAATCCAAAAAATATTTTCTTAGATACACCGATCAATATTAGCATCAGTGATATACACATAAACATAAATATTTTCTACAAAAAACAAAAATTAATTTTCAAAATAATCCCCATTATTACTCAGTATTCATTTTATATCCTCTTATCTTTGTAGCCCACTTTTATTTTGATGCTTTTCTATCGCAAGGAACAACAATGATACTACTAATACTACTAATAATAATAACAATAACAATCAAACATACCAGTGGCTTTTCTTGTAGGACAAAGAGGGTGTGCTCATTTCGATTCCCTACTTTTGGTATTTTCCATTCATTCATTCAGAAATTAATTTCAAACTTTTTTGTTGTTTTTTATATACTACTGAAATATACTATTAGTACTTTAGCCCTCCTATAGGTTTGTATGACAAATCAGTTAGTACCAAATAGCCGACTTGACTGTTCGTCTTATTATCGACCGGTCAATATCGAAGTGTTTACAACCAACTGGGCATATACATATATATAATTAACATTACATAATACAATAAAAACTTCATATTTTTTGATTTGATAATTTTTTTTTGTTTATTTTGATTACATCTACGTTCTTTTGTGATTGTAATGTGCATGGGTGTGTGTGAGCGTGAGTTTGAAATATGCACTTGGTGCTTATTATTATTATTATTATCACTACTACTAGGCCTTTAAATCTATTATGTTGATTTCAAACTAATTTTCTGTGTTTTTTCCATACTTTGCTTCTTTGAGTCTCGCACTCCTCTCTCCTCGTCTTATCTAACCACTCACCCACTCACGCACTCAGTCGGTCATTTATTTATTTAATTATTGACGGAAAAATTCTGCGAGGTGAAAAGATTCACCACGATGTTTGCGTTGTTTTGTTTTCCCACAGAAACGTCAGAAAATAAATGAAAGAAAGACAAATGTCAACACAATCCTTTCCACTTTCTTCTCTTTCATTTTTGTTTGTTTTGGTTTTTTTGTAACTTGGAAATAAAGTTTGGAAACAAAATTGTTATTCTTGAAATTTCTACTCTACTTCACAGTGTAGTAAGTAGTACTAGGAGGAGAAGAAGGAGGAGTGTAACGGAAGGAGGCGGACAAGAGACTTGGTAACTGACCTTGTTCTCATTAGCGACCATATTTATTGGCTAGTTATTAATAAACACTGTTCAGCTGCTGGTGTGCACCAATGAGATGCTCACTGGCGACTGGCCCTATTCAGGTAGGTAGTTACCTGGGTTCCAGTAGGAAGTCGTGACCAGTGGGGTGCAGTTGGTCGGGTGTGAGGACAAATACTCGCCACAGAAGACATTGGCTAGTGGTCGCGCTATGTCGTGAATTGGCAGAAGTTAGAATTCAAGGACCATTGGATCGAGTCCCAGTGGCTTAATGGTCTACGAGCTCGCTAGCCTTGTAACCGGAAGGTCCTGGGTTCGAACCCTGTGGTGGGTGCATACTGCTGACGAGTCACAAACTAGGCTGACGAAACAGCTGTCCAGTACTCCCAGTTGGTTTTCCAATTATTCTCTAACTACTGTCAGCTCATGATGAAATCCTGAAACCAATCAAATCCCTACAAACCAACACTTAAACACTGTTCTGATTGGTTGGTTGGTTGATTGTTTGATGTTTTGAAGGTCAGATTGGTTGGTTTTGATTGGTTGTTGATTTTCTGAAAGGTTAAGTGTTCTGACTGGTTTTTGATTTATAATACAACGTGATCATTCTTGGATAATCCCTATCCATCCAGGCATTAATGAAAACAAAACACGTAGATCAGCGAAGAGTCACTTTTCGGCGGCGAATTCATTTTCTTAGCTGTACAATCGCAAGTATATATGTGATATTAGATGGTTGGAGGCAATCGGCCATAGGAAGCCTTAGACCTAAGTTTTGTGCTAGTTGGCACTCGTCAGCAAGGCGTATCTGCAACCTTGAAGGAACTCATGTCCCTTCTGAGATTCGAACCCGCGTCACCCAGTGTGTGCTGCAGTCTTAGACGTTACCACTGAGCTATTCGGGTTCCCGATTGACCTCCTTGGGACTGTAATGGATATTTTGATTTGACACTAGTTACTAGTGTTAAATTAAAATATATGTATTATTTTGTATGTATGTGTACATTAAGCTTGTCAAATAAAAATACGATTGGTCATAGTTATTTTAACTAAACAGGTGAAGATTGGTAATTGGAGTTACGTAATACAAAATCAGTCAAGAAAATTAGGTTTTAATGAAATTAAGGTAATAACAAAGGTGATGAGTTGTCACTGATAGTTGTTAAAAGAAGTCATGTAATAATGTGAATAATTTGATGAGTGAGGTTTACTCAGGATACATATAGGAACAAAGTAGACAATACGAAATTACATAAGAGTTCTAAATGAATACAAGAATTATAAGCAGTTAAAGAACAGGCGAATAAACAAAATGAAGTCATCAAAATATAAAAAAGTCAAATCAAAAAAGTTTTTACTAAGACAGTAGAAGTGGTTGAGTAATCTTTTTTGTATATACAGCTCCGGTTTTTCTATGTGAATGGCCAGAACTTCAGCGATACAACGAAGACGAAACCGTATTTCCTTTGATAGGTTATTGTTGACTCTGTAGATTACTATGAAGCAGGAGGCGTTTGTTGAGATGAAATGATCAGTGTTAACCAAGTGTTCAATTATCTCACTCCTTATTGCACCACTATCGCCTTTTCTCAACCATGGTGGATAGTGTTCTTGAATCCTCTTTCACAGGGTGCGCATTGGACGACCAATGTACCTGGCTGACTCCACAGCAGCAGGTGAACTGATATATGCACATAGAAGTGATCGGATGTAGGATCTTGTTCTTGAGGCTACTGCGGATCAGTGGGCAATTGGAGAACACTCTTCTTAGCGTTGCTGCAAAGAATGAATGTTCTCAGAGATGATGTGATCCTTCTCTTGAGAATATCGCTTGCTAAATCTCCCTTGGAATCCAAGTTCATGTAGAGTTTCTTTTTAGGTTCAATTAAAGTTTCCTTTCTCCGAATTCCTGGTTTGATATATTTGAGTCTTATTTGGTATCCATTTTAGATGAAGATTTCTCTTAGAATATCTAATTCTGTTTCCAGAACGTCGGGACTACAGATGCGTCGGATGCGGTCAGAAAATGATTTAATTAAATTCCGCTTTTGTTAAATGGATACCCACCTATAGAAGCTTGTTAGTTGACCAATCCAAGTAGGCTTTCTATGCATCGGTCTTCTTAGGCTCCCATCAGTTTTTCTTGTTAGTTCCACATCAAGAAACGGAATTTATGACTCGTTTTTCATTTCAAAAGTGAATGTTATTGCTGGATGGCAACAGTTAAATGTCTTCAGCAGTAGACTGATGTCTTTGTTTAATTTAATTTATGTCGTCTACGTATCTTTTATACAGTCGCAAATTGTTAACGCTTGGTATTAGTGAACCCTTCTCGATGCTTACCAATAAGCAATTTGATCACCAGCGAATCCTATCTGTGGTGAGTACTTGTGCTATAGAGATTCTTAAACCGATGTCAACTTAGAATGTGATCTTGAAACCAATCAAATAGCTGCAAAGCGACACTTCTATATCAATCCAATGCTCACTAGTGACTGGCCATATTCATCAGATGCCACTGAATTGGGTCGAAGTGCCTGATTGGTCTATAAGGTCGCTTTGTAGCCGTAGGCTCATGGGTTCGAACACCAGCAGTGGATGTGTCCTGATGAAGAGAGTCTCAAAGAATGAGGATGAAACGGGTGTTCCTGATTTTCCAATAGTTCTGTAACCGACGTCAGTTAATCATGATGAAATCCTGTAACCGACCAAATCAAATCCCTGAAGATCATCACTTAGTTGCTAATTTTGTGGTGGTCGAACGTTTGAGATTATTACTTAATTACAATGTAAGTGGGGATGTGGATTCAAGGGAAAATCACCTGCATTTGTCTAGTCACTGAATTAAAATGTTTTGTTTTCAGTTTTGGCTACTTTGTATCAATCTGTATATATATATATACCACTGAGAAGTCTGGTTAGCAGCACACGCCACAATAGTGGTACTAAACTGACATAGTCTTGATTGGCAGAATTGATGTGGGTTACAGAAATACAGGAAGAAAAAATTCCTATTTGGATATTTAGAAGGCGGAAGGAACTATAGGCACTGGGTTTGAGCCTCGGTGAGAACATCATCACTCACTGAGGAATGCAGGCACATCCGGATGACGAGTCCCAAATAGGACGAAATGCACGTTATCCTGGATTCCACTGCTAGTCACCATCCACAAGTTCAATTTGAATCAAACACCCTGACGTTGTCGAAGCGTCTACATAAGAAGCTGATATGTCAACCTGAGACCGAGCACTTCAGTCCAATCAATCGACGGGAAAATGTCAAGTTCAATTAAATCTTATCACTGGTTAAGGGAGTATGTTGGTAGCCGGGAGTTAACCTCTTGACCACATGAGGCACAGTTGGCGAGCATTCTACCGCTGAGCCACTGATGCACCTTCGACCTTAAAGAAGTGTACAATTTTGCTGACTCATGTGTTATTTTATCCTAATTTCTATCATCAGAATCTGGAAATCCATTTGAAATGTAGGAGAAAATATCACTCTGAATACCATTCAGAGACCTGTTTCTTTTTTGTATATATATATATATTTTTTCTATAGTTTGGTTTGTAAGGGTTAGTTATGTTTTTACGAGTTGACCACGGATTGATATCAGTTAGAGAACCATTGAAAACCAGCATTGGAGTACTGGACAGCTGCTGTTTCATCCTAGTTTGAGAATCATCGGCAGCATGGACTCACCGGGATTTGAACCCAGGACCTTTCAGTTACAAGGCAACCTCATATACCATTCAGCCACTTGGACCCGATTCAATGGCTAACCAATGCATGAATTCTCACTTCTACCTATTCGTGATTTAGCGCGGCCCCAACCATCCATCCATACAGGTGTCATCTAATTGGACCTCACTGGTCACTAGCGAGCATTAGATTAATTTTCTATAGTTTGGTTTGTAAGGGTTAGTTAGCTGATGATTCCCAAACTAGGCTGAGGAAACAGCAGCTGTCCAGTACTCCAATGCTGGTTTTCAATGGTTCTCTAACTGATATCAATCCATGATCAACTCGTAAAAATATGCATTTATATGTAGATTGTATAGGTAAATCCTTCGAAAGACTTTAGAATTACTGCTTCACATCTTCTGTAAAGGAATGTGAACATTGAACGTTGATTCATTGAACTTGGTAGCCATTGGCGGGCAACTCGAAGGTGAGAATGATTCAATTGTGTACAAGTTGGAAGAAGACGAAAGAATACGAATAAATGTACCGGTTCTTTTTCTTATAAAACATTTGTTTATAGACTTCTGTATCGATTTCGATTTTAATTGCCGAACAATATAAGTTACTACAAAAATACTGGTGTTTTGGAGTTAAAGTCGATAATTGATCGTAGTAGTTATCGATTCGGAGCGTCTTCGCTAATGATAGGAACTTAGGTTTAAGTTCCTTGACATCTTTTGTTTCACAAATGCACAAAGATACACACATACATAGAGAGAGAACTATTTATTAGTGAATGCACATTGAAACAATGACAGAGGGAGAATTAGAGAAAGAGGATTCTAACCAGTAAAGTTCTTTTGCCTGACACTTTACTAAAACAATCCTGAAAGGTTAAAAGCTCTAAAATGGGTGCTGAACATTAAACACTTATAAGACAATAAATTTGTACACTACTACAGAGGAGTGTCTTTCATTCAAATACCTACAAATTCATACACATATCAACCAGCTAATCGATATTTGCATAGATTCAGATAGTAGTAGTGGTAGTAGTAGTAGTCTAATCTAATGATCGTTTACGCCTACTACTCCAGATTGTTCTATTCACAAAGCCTAGTTGACAGATTTGATCTTGACCAACTGTATCAGCATACATTGATCCATTGATCCATAGACCGTCTAATTCAATGATGACAAATATATTGATACCAATGTGTAGATAATTCTTTGGCAGATATAAGCTTAATTGAGAGCCAAGCGCTTGATTATAATGTCCCAAGATTTTATCATTTACAATAAGAATACCCTATAAATATAGATAGATATACGCATAAAAGTTATTTAATAGTTAGAAAAAAGTATTGTTTTAAAATATACTTTTTATATTACATCATATTACATAAGATTATATCAAATAAAACGAGCTCGCCTTTTAACCAGAAGTCCTGGGTTTAGAGAGTGCGTACTGTGAAGAGTCCCGAACTAGGACGAAACAGCTGTTCAGTAGTCTCAGGTTTTCCAATGGTTCTCTAAACAATGTCAGCTCATGATGAAATCCTGTAACCAACCACATCCCTACAAACTAACACTTAAATACTCATATTTTTGTTGACTACGTAAATTTAAACTCAAATGTCCATAAGCTAACATATGTGTACAACTTAGGTAGTACTGTGGTACTACGTAATTCCATGTTAATCTGTTTATTAGATTATTCAAACTCATACAATCAAATAAAAACAGTATTACTGTGTACTGGATGACGGCGTTTCCAAGGCAATGTATTATTGTTCATAATCATATCGTCAATTATAACCTTGTTCATATAAAAGATCAAATCCCTGAAGACTCTCAATGTATTTGTGTCTATAAAATAAAATGCTTGCTTATAATGTGATACTATATTGCATAGAACAAGCATCTGAAGAAATGAAAATCAGAAGAAATGAACACCAAAGAGCCACCTCTATTCGACCTTCGAGAAATCCAGTTGAACTGGAAAAGCTTGAAAAATCATTGGTCTTCGGTTTACACGCTACACTAAAGAATTAGGCCGCAAAATTGATTTTGACAATATCGAAATCATCATCCATAAAAGTTTCAGAAATCACAAAGAGCCTGTAATATCTTTAGAAGCTCTTCATATCAAGTGGAATCCGAATAATGTAGTAAAACAGAATTTGACCTGGTTGCAACATTCGCCTTTCGCCCCATGAAATGACAGAATCTACACGAATGCGATAAGCAATTTCATTATGCAAACACACACTGCTTTTATATAATTTTATACACTTATGAAATTCAATAATCTACGCGTGGTTTTGTTATCTTTACGAATTGGCCAATTTGACAAGACGAAAATGCCCCCATGCTGATGAACATTGATCAAGTTGCCATATATAAGCTGAGTGGATTTTGTAAACTCTGGTTTAATAATACTTTGATTAAGCTATTAGCAGCATTAAATAGCGAAACGTCAGTAAAAACAACGACAATATCGTTTTGTTTTTCATTCATTCATTGGGAAATGCAAAAAACCTTTATTGTAATATTAATCACACAAATTCGGAACCTTCATTTTTTATAGTTTCGTTTATTCTTTCCTATATGTCGTCAAACGGGTGGTAGAATTTTCCAGATGTCCGAATTATTCCTATTCTATGTATTCCCAGCTGATTCGACAAATAAAGCTTCCGTTGTCATCAATATCTCCCTACACTGTGTCACGCTAGGTTTTAGAAGGATCATTTTATCCCATCCATCCTATTGTATGGTTGTGTGTAATTGCATGTAGTGAGTGCTGTAGCTGAACTATCCTATTCTCCAGATTTCTTATCCAGTTCAAGTCAATTAATCTAGATTTTTCTGGTTTTGGTGTTGCTCCGCTAGTCCCTCTGACCCCGTTCTACTGTAACAACAGAAGACAAGGGCTGGCAACAGATCGTTTTATTATGAAAATCAACACGTATTTATACATCTTTCAACTACATTATTATAGACAAGCGCAGTCATCTGATTGGTTGTTTAGGTAGACAAACGCAGGCTTCTGATTGGTTGTTTCGGGATTCCTTGACAAATAGAGTTCTCTCTGCGAATCATATTCTGCCACGTTAACTTTGCTGTGATTGGTTGTTGACTCAGGCTTGTTCATATTTTCTCACGGCCCATATTAGTGACCTAGACCTTAACGTAGATTAGTGCCAACCAATCGGCTAGCAGCCTGCTCTCACCACACTACTGCTTCGGCCTGTGTACTTGACCTGACAACCGTTGCAGATAGGATACTGGATAAACTAAATTGTTTTGTTTAATTGGCTTCTTAGGATTGATCCTTCAATCGACAAAGCATGTTTCCGATTGAGTTTGTGGGTGATGTGAATTCCAGTCACTTTTATTTCTGCCTTCCCTGATAACAATTCTACGTAAGGGGATCTTCGAGGTTCCTTCTTGGTACAGGAGTACTGCTTATGATTTAAAGTCTTTATTGTTGATGTTGTCATTATTTTGTTCATGTTTGACAACAGTAAGTATCAGTCTGTATCATCTAAAGGAGTCTAAGAGGAAGTCACTTTTTCCACTTACCCCATCTAGACAGCATCAATCACCTCAGCTACAAGATGTATGGTTAAGTACGTCAAAGTTAGTCAACATCGGAAAGCAAGACACAGTTTCATTAATCTGAAGTCACATCTTTTAAACGGTTGCAGGATTTGACGAGCCCTGAGAAGCATTTCCAATGGACAGTGCAGAATTTCACCGACGACTGCCATCAACTCATGGCTGATCGATCAGAAAGGATAACCAACAAGGAACTCTGCTAGACAGATAACCAACCAAGTATCTATCGCTTAAAAAAAGATATTCGGAAGCAACAAAAGAAGAATTGAACCTATGCTGAAGAGACCTCTGAGTAACAACATTATGCATCAGGCAAGACCTCGACAGGAATCTGAATGAGAGGGAATGATTTAGGTGGAAGTCGGAAGGTGGCATAGAAGAAGAGAACATATCAGAAGGAAATAGAAGACTATGGGGCATCTTTGAGCCAGCTGAAAATGACTATAAGGAACAGGGTGAAATGAAGATGTGCTAGTAAATCCGAGTGTTCTGCTCGAAACCCAAGGGAATAATAATAAGCATTTCTAAAGATATATGGAACTCAAAGATAAATGAAACAGAACCCCTATGTATACCTCGTCCTTATTTGATGTACTGTCTACCTTGTTAACGAAAACAGGATAAACCCGGACAGACTAAAATGCACTGTATTAAACATGATGGAGAAGATTTTGTAGCTCAGATGGATGATTTTGATGTGGTTAAGTTCTCTGAGCTGGATAGTTTTAATTTGCGAAGATTTCATTGCTCTATTAGTCAACATCTTCAGTGCATACTTCATTTTAGTGAAATGAGCTTTAAGATTTCTCCACGAGTTTCTTAGTCATCTCTCCTGATGGAAACGTTGAACTTGATTGGTTGTTTCTGTGTGTTTTCACACCTTCTAGGTCGCGTGTATTGGAAGTGATTGATTCCTTGACTTGAACTTTGACCTTTGTTTCTGAAGGAAAGAAGGAAATCTTACACACAAAGTGTCAAAGTTCAAGTCAAGGAATTAATCACTTCCAATACACGCGACCTAGAAGGTGTGAAAACACACAAAAACAACCAATCACGTTCAAAGTTTCCATCAGGAGAGATGACTAAGAAACTCGTGGAGAAATCTTAAAGCTCATTTCACTAAATTGAAGTATGTACTGAAGATGTTGCCTAATAGAGCAATGAAATCTTCGCAAATTAACTGTCCAGCTCAGAGAACTTAACCACATCAAAAACTGTATTAGACATTAAAACTTGTAGTCATTTAGTGGTTATCCTTGAAGCCAGGCCTAGTTAAGTGTCCAAACAGACCAAGCAACGACTCTAATTTGTACATCAGAAAACCTAAAAATAGTGAAATGAACTAGATAGAAGAAGAAGCGTCGACACTGAATGCCTTTTCCATAAAATTCATAGAGAATATCACAAAACTACACAAGAAATGGAATAATAGTAGTGGAACACTATTGATGATAACATAAATAAGAAAGAATTTAAGGCGTCTACACTTTAAACATTTTAGAGAAGGATCAACCGATACTTTATGCAGGATTCTTAATTAAGCAAGAATTAGGCTGACGTTTCAATCTACAAACGCATTCAGAGTAGACAAGTTGTGTTGGCTAAGTCACTTTGTTGATTTAGTTAGACAGAATAATTTAATCAATAAAATAGATTACAGTGGATATGCATGTGATCACCCACATAGATCACACCAGTAATTCAGGGTTATTTGGGTTAATTAAACGTAGGAATTTAGCTAAATGTAGAATGACTGCGATGCATACACGAGCACACAATTAAACAATAGGTTGAGACAGAGGTATAATTCTAAAACTGAATCCTTATTCAGTGAATTTACCCCTAACATATTTACAATAGGGTAAACGTGCTACTGATGTCGGAGATATAGAAAATATTATTATTACTGAAGTAAAAAAGATGAACAGCAACAGAACGATACATCAAAGTTTGAAAGTTATGCGAGTGAGTACACTCTGATATGATTGTGAAACGTCATCGGTAAATAATACTGTAATTTCGTGCATTTTTCCTCAAAATAAAATTATTCTATGAGGAATCGTAGACTATTTGGAACTCATTAGCTAGATATACCTTCTTCTGAGTAAGTGCTCGTGTTTCTAAGGAGATCCGAATCTGAACATTCATTGCTACAAACTTTAAAGTGTTATCCATGAGAGCTATTCAACATTATTTGAGACAACACTGCTTCGTCTGCTTGTTGGGTTCGCGGCTTCTGCTCTGCAAATGATTGTAGTGACGGGTCCATAAATCATTACCAACTTTGACGTCGTATATAACTCGACCACATGGTGCTGCGATTGAACCTTTATTCCAAGGTTTATGTCTTGCTCAAAAGTCGCGGACATAGACAGCGTCACCCACATCACAGTTTTTCTCGTTTCGAATTGATGCGTCGGCACGTTTGGGCGCCGGTGGTAACATTGATTTGTGAATCGTTCTAAGTCTGCGTCTTTAAAGAATTTCTGCCGGCGATTTCTTATTCTGTGTTGACTCATTCGCCATTGTACGGTACACCATCAATAATTTTTGGATGATGTCAAATGGTGTTCCCCCTCCCTCTGCTTTGAGTAAGGCTCTCTTCAAAGTGTCGACAAAACGTTCCGCTTGACCGTCTGACTGAGAATGATATGGCGGTGTGAACATATGCTTGGTAGCATTTTGACA